CACATGTAAACTCACTGAGCAGGGCCCTCAATCCCTCTGTTACTGTGTCACTATACCCCACTCCCTCTAACATGTAAACTCACTGAGCAGGCCCTCAATCCCTCTGTTACTGTGTCACTATGTCGTATATAATTTACTGCAAACCAATTAGTTTGAATGACTATCTGTTCCTGTCCAAATTAAAGATAATAAAGTAGCGTGCACGCAGAAGTAAATTCACACTGAGACACAAGGTTCAGGGTAATGAAAGAACTTCAGAGAAGTTTAATGGCTTCTGACAGAAAATGGGTGCGCAGACCCTTTTAAAGGCATTATTACATCATTGAAGAAAATCAAGATATAGACAAATAGACACTATTGATTGGTCCAGGTGTTAAGTGGTTAGTTAGGTACCCTCCTATCAAGAGGTGATGTCATCCTTGACACGGGAGTGGACACAAGATGTAGGCGCCATCTTGTTAGCACGAGGTGTTCACTCTATGGGAGGGGTGCTTTGGCAGCCATCCATTTAGAGTGTAGCTGGCACGGTTAGTTTCTCAAGGTTAGGTTTCAAGGCTTTTAGTAAATACACATTTTATCAAAGCTATTTCTTGCTGGCATGCAAATTCTATGTTCTATAGACAAAGCTTTCTTGTAAAACTATGGGGGCCTCTTAGAGGTATAGCAAGATGATTTAAAGGGGCCTTACAGATTTATAGAGGCCTAATAATTCTACAACAGTCCCCCCTAAAATGTTATTTGCTAAAATACAAAACTTTATTTGTTAGTATCAGAAGATGTGTTAGCCCAAAGACACAGAAACCCCATGACCGCTGACTTAGTGTTAATGCAAAGTGCAAGTCTATCCCTCTCTTGACCCTAACAGGCTGCAGCACATCCGTCAGTACGGTTCAGGAACACTCTTCACTCTGCTGGTAACCCATGGTGGCTTATCCACTACTTCTCCGTACGGCAGTCTACCCATAAAGACGGACGCTGTCCCTGTACTGTCCCTTCCTAGACTTTCTGCACTTCATCAGTATAAGGGAGAGTTTGTAGCGGAATACAGGGTGAGATGAGGTCTTGATCATCGATTGTCAGATGAGTGAAGGTTGGTGTTGCTTGGTCTACAGTTTTCTGCAGGAATTTCCTTAGGCATGGGAGGACACAACAAATGAGAAGAGCGAGAATAAAAAGAAAAATTAGTAAGGCAATACCAATCTGGACTAAAGCTCTCTGCCAACCAGTCATCCAACCAAACCATTTTTCCCAGGGATCAGTAACTCCAGAGTTTCTCTTTAACTCTTCTGAGAGTCTATTTAATTTAGCTATGGCTAGAGTGACTTTACCATTAGGACCTGTGTTTTCTGGAATGTAAGTGCAACAAGTCATAGTGTCGGGAAGTATTTTACAGACTCCCCTTTTTCGGCTAAGATCATGTCTAAGGCCAGTCTGTTCTGGAAGGTCATTTGGGATGTGGCCTGTAATTGCTCGGCCAAGCCCTGGAGGGCATCCCTGGTGTAGTTCACGAAGCGCTGTTGGTTGTAATAGATATAATTAATCCAATTAAGGTTTTTGTTGGCAGTGACTATGGTAAAAAGTGATTCAAAACCTGCAGCTACTTCATCTCTAGCTTTAAATTCATTAGGTACCCCCCTAGGCACCCCAATGGCATCTATGTAAATGTGGGGGTCAAAACTGCCTTTTACTGGGGTTTCGCACCTTACTCTGGCTGATGTATGTGGAGGGTCGTATGTGTCATGATGATTATCAGAAATAATATGAATGGGCATGATAACTTTGGCCAGGGTACACTCACCCCACCACTCAGTTTCCAGCCTAGATCTTAGCTGTAGATCCCCACATAACCAGTAAATATCCCCCAATGACCTGGTATGGTGTTGCAACAGGCGTATAGGAACAGTTCTGTAAGTGGCGCAATAACCTTTAGAAAAATTACCCATGAATTTACCAATCCCGTCATACATGGCATAACAAGTGTAATTACCTCTATAGACTGTGATTCCATCTGGTGGCTTAACATTTTCAACTAAGAGAGGGTATTCTGCCGTCCATGCCATGCAGAGGGACCTATTAAAGTCATATTGGTAGGCAAAAAGGCTTAAGAAGCAATCTTCTATCTCTAAAGGGAGAGTTAGGGGGACGGTGCCAAGGTGGGGTCGGGCACCGCCACATACATAACATGCTGTTTTATTATGTTTGTTGGCATTATACCTCATCCATTCTAACCACAAATTAATGTCATTGAATCCAGTTTCAGCGGCCATGGTATCTTCAAAAGTGGGGTTAGCGATGGCCATCATATCTTTAAAGGACTGGATATGTGGTTTTAGCGGATTTGGGACCATATGATCAGCCCCTTGCCACTCTGGAGAGTGGTACATATCTCTGAGGTAGAAATGACCTAATTTGTTGTAGGAACCTTTCTTCCAATACATTCCCATTACATATCGGTCTGCATCCTCGGGGCCAGGATGTTCAATATTTAACATTAATTTCATAGGGGTACTTCCTCCAGGCTTTCTTAAAGTCATTCTTTGAAGGAGGGATCTACCCTGATTGTCTATCTTAGATAAAGCACTTTTGGGTTTATAACCCCAGGCAGGCCCAGTATTCCATCCCGCAGCCCCCCAGTAGTTACAGTCATAACCCCATTGTTCATCTACTACACAAACGTAAGGGTCTTTTGCTTGTGGGATATCTTTATAAATGGCTTGAATCTGTGACTTAGGGAATGGGCACTCTACAATATCACAGTAATCAAAAGTGAATGTAGCCACATGGGTACATGATGAATTATACCAGAAGGTGTACCCACTAGCATCTTTGGTGATGGCCACCTGCTGGGCTTTAAGGAGGCCAACTAAGGGGATAATGTACCAGAGGCACATGGTTGCATAGAGTTAGCTTCCTCTGGGGCAGGTGTCTTCTTGCAATGGGAAGCGTGGATCCAGTTAGGCCTTCCGGCCAATTTGACAGAGGTAGGGGAGATCAGGAGAACTTGGAGCGGTCCGTCAAATCTTGGTTCCAGGGTGTGTTTTCGCACAAATTTCTTGACCAGAACCCAGTCACCGGGGAGCAGACTGTGGTTGCCTGTGTCAGAATCAGGATCTGGAATTGAAGAGAAAACTTGGGCATGGATTTTGTTCAAAGCATTTGCGAGTTCAGTTACATAGTTTACCAAAACATCAGTATGAAGTTGTAATTGCTGGGGAAAATAGCAACCTAGCCTAGGTGCAGTCCCAAATAGAATCTCATATGGGGACAGTGAGGTAGTATTTTGTACAAGAGCATTCATTAGATCCTTTGATAAATGTGCAGGTCCGTGTGCCCATTGTACGACTGCTGGGTACAAATTCTTAGGGAGGCAGAAATTGGGGTTGTTGGAGTACACTCCATCCTTCAGAACTGCCCCTTTCTGTTTCCACTTCTGTATTTCTTCAGGGGCAACTGTAGCCTGTTGTTCCCGCAGGATTTTCAGGTCAGTTGGAAGAGTCTGCAGAGTAAATATGGGAGTTTCTTCATTTCCGGACACTCTTCTTTCCACTTCCTGTGGTTCTTTTTGCAGCTTGTTTTGCAGCCTGATCAGCTAGATGGTTGCCCTTTGCTTCATCTGAGTCCAACTTCCCATGTGCTTTTATCTTCAAAATAGCCACTTCTGGGAGTAGGAGGGCGTCCATCAGCTCCTTGATCGCGGAACCGTGCTTGATTGGTGTACCGGCGGTGGTAAGAAATCCTCTTGTTTTCCAAATTAATCCGAAGTCGTGAGCCACGCCCAGTGCATATCTTGAATCCGTGTAGATATTGGCGCGCTTTCCTTCAGAGATCTTGCATGCTGAAATCAGGGCTTGCAATTCAGCTTCTTGTGCAGACATAGTTGATGGTAAAGATGATGATTTGACAATTTCATCTGTTGTGGTTACGGCATATCCTGTATGGTATCTTCCTTCTTCATCAGCATATCTTGAGCCGTCCACAAACAGGGTGAGATCGGGATCTACCAATGGGTCTTCATGCACAGTTGGTAGATGTGTCGTTTCCATTTTCATCTGTTCAAAACAGTCATGAGGTGTATCTGGGTCGTAGTCATTCACTATGGTTAAATCTTGGAACTCATTCTCCAGGAAATGACGCGGCCATGCTTTTAGGTGCTCAGTTGTTGGATATTTGACAACACCATTTTCCTGTAGCTGTGATTCGTCCATAGTGGCCCATGCTTTTGCCATAGGCCCAAGATCATTCCATGATATTGTTTTCAACTTGGTCACAGGGACATGTGGAATGGCAGTATCCCAATGACGGTACAAATGCTTGAGTTCCGGAGGTAGATGAATCAAGACCATACTGTTGCCTTCAGAATCACAGTAGAAGTCTTGTGCAGTGAGTTTTACTTCAACCAGCTTATAGAGTTCATCTTCATAGCAGGGTTCAGGAGTGATGTTTGGTTTTTACCACATGGTACAGAAGGCATGTCTTGCTCCGTCATGAAGGAGTGCTTGTCCATCATAAAAGGATAGGTTGGGATGCATTTCCTTCTTGATGGTGCCAGTGAGAAGAGAAACATAAATTTCGTCCATGATGAATCCGTAGTATACACCCCCCTCAGGGAGTGGCAGAAGAGTGGACGGATTGAGAACTTGACATCTTTGAAGGGTAATGTTGTCAGGCAACAAAAGATGACATTGAAGGCGAAGATGCCTAGCAGGAGTAACATGCTTAAGTTGGACCTGGTTGACTATGGCAGAAATGTCATGAGGGGCCAAGACAACCAGGGGGTGGCCAAGGACAAGATCCCCAGTTCTTTCAATGAGCTCTCTGGCAGCAAAGACGGCCCGAAGGCAAGAGGGACGTCCTCTGGCCACAATATCCAGTTGGCAGGAGAAAAATCCAATAGGCCTTTGGCGGCCTCCAGGACCATGGGCCTGAGTGAGTACTCCTGTTGCATGGCCTTGTCTTTCAGAAACAAACAATTTGAAGGGTTTGGTATAGTCTGGTAGGCCAAGAGCAGGAGCAGAAGCAATAGCACGTTTGAGAGAACAGAAGTTGTCAAGGGCTTCCGTGGACAAGCAAAATGGGTCTGACTTGAGAGCATTATAAAGAGGTTGCATAAGGAGCGAGGCTTCAGGGATCCATGCTCGGCAATAGGAAATGAGGCCCAGGAAGGCGTGTAGTGACTTCGAGGTCCTTGGAGGCGGAATGTCCAGTACTGCTCTAACTCGGTCACGGGTAAGATGTCTGGTTCCCTGAGACAGACAATGGCCAAGGAAGATAACAGTAGATTGGCAGAATTGCAGCTTGAGACGTGAAGCTTTACATCCTTGTTCTGCTAGGTAGCAAAGAAGATTAATTGAGCATTGTTCTGTTGTGGGTAGGTCATCTCCACAGTAAAATGGGAAGGGAACAAAGAACTGTAGTGTCTTTTCGTGACAAAGGTGTATTTAATTGAACCTGGCCGTCTGCAGTGAGGGTGATGGATGCTTGGAGGCAGGATAGGACATCAGCACCAACACAAGAGACATCGGTGTCAGGCAGGAACGATGAGTCAGGCAGGTCTTGTTCTCTAGGAACACTGCGGGATGCACCTGTGTTAACCAGGAAACCAGGAAAGTAGTAGGGTGACCTTCAATAGGTAAAGTTACAGTGGCTAGTGACCCCCCTTGTTCCCTGTAGACACTGCCATGGCAGGGGCATTAAGCATCAGCGGGTTTGCTCTCCTCCGTATGGGCTGTGTTACTGACTCAAACCCTTTTCTATGTCATTAGCCATAGCTTTTTGCAGTCTGAACATGTCTATCATTATAAATAATGGTTAATAGTAAGTGAAGTAAAGTTCCTATATGTCTTTGGATAAAACATTAACTATTGCGGTACTATCATTTATATCAATTAGACTATAACAATTATACCACCCTGTAACTAAAATGAACAACCAGTAGTGGCTGGGTTAATAAAACATGTCACTAATCCTTCTAATGCTAAACCATCATTTAAAGTAAAGGATGTTACTGTAAACATACGATCTGTAACTAGCAAGATTCGATTAAGCAAAGATACAATGTTTAAAATAACTTGCATTATTTGGCTATTTCCCTTGTTGCAAGATGAAGCTGGATAATCAGCTGTTATGCTCTTATATTCGTGTCCAACAGATCTCATTTGTAGGTCACACCACATTTGCAAATTACATTTTAGCAACCTTCTTCTGTACTAGGCGCCATCTTTAGGGTGGTGACTGGCGCACTTTCAACAATACACTATATTATAACTATTAAAATAAGTCAGAGAAGCAACATTCCGTTCTGCAAAATGAAATACTAAACTATGAACAGACCTGGCAGCTTAAATAAGACAGTTGAAAACATTATGCATTTAACAGCCCATACAGCTGTCTTCTAGAAACATGTTCTTTAAAATAACTTTAAAATAATAAAATGATGCAAAATAAACTCGCGGAATTCAACCAAATTCCCTTATCTTCCTCAAACCATTAATCACTTTCCTCTTCACATACTAGCTTAACTCCGCATATTCCCTCTATCCACATTGCATAGTTCTGCAACAAATCATGCTTGCCTATACACTTAACACGTCCAAATATTCCACTATTCTTGTATCAGATGCACTTACCTCCGTAAATCAACACTGAGCTACATTCTTGTGTCTCCCCCACAATCCTCACCACTTTATCACAAAACTCAATCTATACATACACACACATACACATACATATACACACACACACACATACACATACATATACAAACGGCAAACGGCAACAATAATAATATTATTACACAACTATAACACCATAACCTCTGAATTAGAATATTTTCCAGCAAAAATCCCATTCCTAACTCTTATCAGTAGCTCCGAAATGCAGAAGGCATGTACCTCCCCCATTCGGAGGCAAGTGGGGAGGAAAGGGGGGGGGATGTGAGACAGTGCAAAAAAGGGAGAGAAGCTGCAGGCATGAAGATTAACCATGTGAGTGCTGGAAAGTAACAAGACAGAAGGACAGAGACTTATACGTTTGGAAACCAGAAATCTTTGACGGGAGAAACGGACTGGAGGTGCAGGGAGCTGCAGAGAGAGGATGAGGGTGACGAGATCTGTAGGACTGATGGGGGGGGGGAATAGGGATCCATCAGCATCCAGTAACACAATTATTATAATACACAAACAATCTTAAACCTTTGTGATCAATTTCTTCCTCAACCTATCCCTTTTGCTGAATAGCTCTTGCTACTCGGTACCAGGCTTCTGCTGTACAAACCAAATCTTGGTCCGACAGCTTCCCTTTCTTCTCTGTCAGTAACTTACGCCAGCTCTCTGGCTGCAATCTGCCGCACGGAGGTACGGTAATTCCACATACTTTAGCAATCTTCCTCACTTTCTTAACCATCTCTTCTCCTTCTCTGTCTTCCACTAGATCACATGCTAACCAACCCTTATTGGGTTTATCTAACTTCTGTCCCATCCTCCCTATATAAGGCGTCCCAGATATAGAGAGAGAAAGGAACAGAACGTCTACCGTGCTCGACTGCTACTTTAAGAGCAAGCTCTAAAGAAGTGTGTGACCAATCACTTCTCTCAACAAAGAGAAAGAGAAATAGGAGGGGAAAGTGTAAATAGTACAGTGAGTAAGATAGAAGTAAACACAGGAATCTGTGTGACAGACAATTAAGACAATAACATTTCAGTGTAAATACAGTGCATGCATCACAGTTCAAATAAGTTCAACAGTTTTATCCCTTGCCTTTACTCGTGTGGCCAAAAGCCACCTCCCTCAACCTCGTAGTGTCCCTGTTGCGGACCCACCCGCAAGTCTCACTACCAGCAGCCACAGGAAACAGCAACAGCTTCCAACCCGAATCCTGTATAGCCTAAAGAATTGGAATCTTACCTGCCTCAGCGCTCGAGGCTGGAATTTTACCAAGAAGCTAAGCGGTCAAAATGACACTCTGGGGAACCCCCAGGAAGCAATGAGTCTACATCATCCTCCACAGATTCCCCCTACTCTTTTTCCTTACAGCCACAGCCACGTGGCTCCTAAAAGAGTTAAACAGGCAATAGAGGACCCCCAGGAAAACTTCCACAGGTCCACCCCCCTTTTTCCTTACTACCACAGGCATGTGGTACCTAAAAGGAGTTAAACAGGCACTTACACTCCCCGGGTACTAAGTTAAACACATACCAATACAAACACACCCAGGCAACAGATAGTCAACATGCAGGTAAACTAGGTATCATTAACAATACAAAGACTCTGGGCAAGTTATTACCTGACTTTGATGTCCTCTCGGCAGCAGTCACAGACACTGGGGCAGGTCAATCACAGGGGTAGGAACATACCGGCTAGGTGCTGCAGCAATCTCTACCGTGTATTCAGAGGTGATCAGGCTCTTTTCCTTCCCCCAGGATTCAGCCCCCCCAGCGTCTTCTTGGACAGCTGCCCAGACTGGACATAGCCCAGAGCCCCACGTTGGGCGCCAATTTGTCGTATATAATTTACTGCAAACCAATTAGTTTGAATGACTATCTGTTCCTGTCCAAATTAAAGATAATAAAGTAGCGTGCACGCAGAAGTAAATTCACACTGAGACACAAGGTTCAGGGTAATGAAAGAACTTCAGAGAAGTTTAATGGCTTCTGACAGAAAATGGGTGCGCAGACCCTTTTAAAGGCATTATTACATCATTGAAGAAAATCAAGATATAGACAAATAGACACTATTGATTGGTCCAGGTGTTAAGTGGTTAGTTAGGTACCCTCCTATCAAGAGGTGATGTCATCCTTGACACGGGAGTGGACACAAGATGTAGGCGCCATCTTGTTAGCACGAGGTGTTCACTCGATGGGAGGGGTACTTTGGCAGCCATCCATTTAGAGTGTAGCTGGCACGGTTAGTTTCTCAAGGTTAGGTTTCAAGGCTTTTAGTAAATACACATTTTATCAAAGCTATTTCTTGCTGGCATGCAAATTCTATGTTCTATAGACAAAGCTTTCTTGTAAAACTATGGGGGCCTCTTAGAGGTTTAGCAAGAGGATTTAAAGGGGCCTTACAGATTTATAGAGGCCTAATAATTCTACAACAACTATACCCCACTCCCTCTAACATGTAAACTCACTGAGCAGGCCCTCAATCCCTCTGTTACTGTGTCACTATACCCCACTCCCTCTAACATGTAAACTCACTGAGCAGGCCCTCAATCCCTCTGTTACTGCGTCTCCAACTTGTCTGGTTACAATTACATGTTTGTTAGTCCACCCATTGTACAGCACTACAGAACTTGTTGGTGCTATATAAATAAACTAATAATAATAATAGTAAAGGGCCAGGAGATAAATATCAAGTTAACCCCTTAAGGACGGAGGGCGTACTATTACGCCCTGCAGGAGCCGGCTCTAAACGCCGGCGGGCGTAATAGTACGCCCTCACTTTAATGGCCGCCCATGTGGCCGGCGCTATTCGCCCGCTGCAGATCGCGGTCGGGGGGGATGCCCGGCCCCCCA